CCTCCTCTTCCTCTGCTAGAAACTGATGAAGCTTCTTAAACTGCTCCTTAATCAGCCTCTCTGTGTGTCGGGCCTGGACCTTCATGTGTTCTGCTGTCTGATCAAACTCCTCTTGAACTTTCTTCCTGAGTTTTAGCTTTTTCTTGATGGTTTCTAGAGATGAACGGAGATTCACTCTGTGATCCTGTGCAGCTTCATCTATGGGTGTAAAGCTGTGGCTTTTATGGAGTTTGGAATCTCTGCAGACGAGACACACTGGCTGCTGATGGTCCAGACAGAAGAGTCTGAGTTTCTCAGAGTGCAGACTGCAGAGATCCTCTGAAGCTCTTTCTTTGCGGATGGACTCACATAGATTCTTCAAAACCAAATTCCTTGGAGGATCTTTGCTGAAAGATATTCTTCGACAAATTGGACACTCCCGAGTTGGTTTATCTTTCCAGAACTTTTTAACACACTCCATACAGAAGCTGTGGCTACATGTCAGAACAACTGGATCCTTAAAGACGTCCTGACAGACCGGACAGCAGAGATCCTCCTCTAACCTGGAAGCCATTTAGTCTCTGAGTGAAGCTGAAAAAATCGAGGACAAATTATTAAACAGGAAGTCTATTTCAATTTTGCAGGATGTTTATGCTCAGTTTACCTTTTGTAGTTTCTTCAACCTGCATAAGTTTCTGTTTTAGGATTTTCAGTTTTAATGAGTCTTCAGCGATTTCTCTCCATGTTTGCTGTGATTAAAGTAAATCTGACTGTTAGATGTGGATCTTCTCTCTGCACCTGAGGAAGTAAAAATTTCCTGAAGTGACTCAAATATATATTTGTGTGGGTGGAGTTTAACCAAATCACAAAATGTTCCCTTTTTGACAAAGTGAACAAGAGAAAACAATATCAACACTTTTACTTCTTCCTGTCTATTTTACCAAATACCTCAATAAGCCTCCTCATTTCAAAGTTTAAACTTTAAGAAAATATTAGACTTCTGTAGAGGAAAAAATAGAAGAATACATAAACATTATCTATAATGAATTTAGTAGGGAAGTATAAACTTATGCAAAAAGAGATCAAGTACAGTTTAAACATTAATGTCGCCATTTGTTGCATGGTATCAGATTGAAGCATGTGGCTAATTGGCTTCTTTAGTCCATAGGTAATAAAATGGATACAAAATGCAACTACAAAGAAAACAAAGTTAAAAATGACAGCTTACTGTCATTAAACCCACACAGATGCAAAGAGACAAACCCCCCCGGTCTCTTGTCTTGCTAAATGAAGTGAGGACCATGTGTTTACTCCCATTGACTTCTGTTGTTTTTCAGTAATTACTCCAAAAATAACCCTAAACGTACAGTAACCATTAGACTTATGGTAGAAGTTTTGGCCCATATCTGTCCTCTACTCATTGGAAATATAATCTAAAATATAAGTTATAGGTTTAGATCTATTTTTATTATGTTTACATGTCATTGCAACTTTTCACATTCTGAAAAAAATATTTCCTTTATGATTTGGTTGAATGCTGTCTCTTTTGTGCAGCCTGAAGTTGGGATGCGTCAAAATTATCAAGTCTTTCACTGAGAACTGAAGATTAGTTTATCCTTTTAGGGAAAATTTGTCTGCCCTATGGTGGGAAAAATATATATCCTATTAATACCC